AAGTATTGCTCAATTACGTATGATTATACACATAAACGTAACACCCTATGTTTTTAATCAAATCTGATTACCTACTTTTATATGAAAAAAACATGATCAATCACATGTGATTAACATCAATCAATAACACTTTAAGCTTATTATAATAACATTGTTTTATTGATTTTGATTTATATGTATATTTATACTTATTTATTATTGATTTGTATACAAATATGAATTTGATTACAGCTATTGTACTATTCACAGAAGAAAAGAAAACAACAATAGACAAAATATGTATATTTAAATCACATATGGTTTATGAAGAAATATTATAAATATATGACTATATGATTATTCTTTTTTTACAATTTGTCTCTCTAAAGGAAAAGGAAAAAGATCAAATGAAGAAGATACAACAGAAAGAAGGTCTAAGTTAAAACGCGAAAAAGGTATAATTTAGTCACATATGATTGTAATATGTATTTAAAACCACATAATTATTAATTATTACTTGATTGTCATATCATATATGATTATTATTTTCATTACACCTGGAAAAAAAAAACTAAGTGGGAGTATTTGTCCTCAACTTATAAAAATAATTTTGTTAAATCATATGTGATATAATAATAACTTTATTAAATCACATCTGACTAATATCTTTTATGTACGAAAAAACTCAATATACAAATAAGATAGTTTATTAAATCATATATGATTCAAAAATTAATCATTTCTGGTTCTTAAATAACTTTGTTGATCATATATGATTCAAAGATGAATCACCATGTGATTAATATCTTTTATATACGAAAGTAACAATCACATGTGATTATGCAAAAATTTAATAAATCATATATGATTTAAAAATCAATCATGTATGATTATTCAAAACATATTTCATGTATTTTTCAGTTAACACACATGTGATAAAATTGTGTCAGACAAATGGGTTTTAGGGGGATATTAAATATGAAGATGACAGAGGTCCCAGGGGCCTTAAGCTGCTTTGTTCTTAAGAATTTTAACTCAGAGATAAAGAAGATAGTTCTTCAAAGAGGAGTTATTGATGTCATCAAAGAATCCGTGAAAGAAATTGTTGTACTTCCTTTGGGAAGAAAACAGTTTTCAAAACTTCTGTTCAAAACAAAAGAAGATAAATGTTATGAAGAATGGACAAACCAGTTTGATGACAAGCAGATGATTCGACTTCAAGATACAAAGATGAAGATTGTTTCCACCAACAAGACAAATATGAATTTCACGATGAATTTTATAGCTTTGTTGATCAACTCGTTGATAGAATCAAGCTCTTTAGGAAAAGCAAACACCAACCCATTGGACTACATAATAAGCAAGACGAAAATAAAAAACATCGACTGGTGTGCTTATCTGATAGACAGTTTGGTTAAAAACAAAGTCTTTTGATCCATCCAATACAAAAAGCAATTTTAATGGACCATCTGCTTATTTAGTGGTATGTTTAATATGTTTTACTCTATTTAAATATCTTTAAAATCACATATTATTTTTATTTAAATATAACGTATGTTCTAACATTAGTAGAAATAATCACATGTGATTTAAATGTCAGATTCTTACATCCTATATGATTAGTAGAATTTGTTACAAAATTAAAACATGAATCACATGTGATAATATATATATATATATATATATATATATATATATATATATATATATATATTGATTTTTTTTTTTTTTTTTTTTTGCAGTTGCTTTATCTAGACAAAATCAAATATGGCGTACTTAAGGTTTAAAGAACTCATCCAGTGATCTGCTATTGGACTTCAGAGAAAATAAAGATGAGGGAAACTTTTGAAGCGGATGAGCTTGGGGATTTTGGATTAGGGGATTATACGATCAGTATGTTGAGGAAGAATTGAATGAGGAGGTAAATTTAATTGCAACAATTACATGAAAACTCATTATTATATACTAATATTTTACATGTTATATTATATATATTAGTATATATTTTCATTCATTTATTATGTAGGCTTATGTGGAAGTGGTTATGATTAAGTATATGAAGTTAACATGTCGATTGAAGATGGAATAAATAAATTCACAGAAAATATAACCTTGAATCATTTGAAAATTAGCTTTGATGTAATTTTTAAAATAAGAATGAAGATAATCAAGAAAAAATGGGGATGATCATGTTCAAGATGACAATAGTGTTGATGTGACATCCCCAAAATCTCGGCCAGAAAAGACCGATTTTTCATTTATGCTTTTAAAATAAATTCAGAGTAAATCCTTTTGACTTGAAAGAGTTGCGGAATTTGTTCCCAAAAACAAAACATGATAAAAGAATGTTTACCAAAGCATTTCATAAAAGAAATGTATTTTTCATTATATAATTAAAACTCGGGGTGTCATGTTCCGATACAGACCAATAAGCATAAACGATAACATTACAAGTCATTCAGCAAATATATACATATACAGACTTGTAAACAAAACAACTTGATGGTTCATCCATCTTACGCCCTTGCGCCACATCCTGTAATACAAATAAAACTGAGTGGGTCAGGCTTGGGAGCCTGGTGAGCATATAGGGTTTTCAACCCACAATAAATAAATTATATTTAATTTCACCAACCAATCACTATCCCGATTACTCATTCCCATTATCCTCACTTTACATCCCTAAAACAACATCTATCTCAAGGGACCTAATCTTGGATTTTCATCGGGACGGACATTACTGCTAAGGGGTTTCCTCAACAATAGATATCCTTAAGGCAACCATGAGGGGGATAGAGTACACCGGTGAACACATCGTTCACAACACCTACAGGTTATCAACCTGCTAGCGTTCCACGAGACTGTCTAGAAGGAGTCTGTGGTCGTTATCCATACTCCGCTGAATAACTAGGTCAACAACAACAACATCGAGGCCTCTCATCTGTTTATTACACACCAACTATCTACCCGTGTTCTACCCAACATATTAGTAGATAACAAATATATATTTTTATACATAGTTTAAAACCTGTATAGCATTTTCATCCAATACATATTTCACATAACAGATGAGGCATACCCACATAACACGTATTTCATAGAAAACAAATCAGATCTATGAGATTGAAGAGAGTGAATATACATTCACGTACATAACAACAAAACTATACACATAACACGTATTTCGTATAAAATACTTCATAATTATGCATTAGAAGAAAGTAACTACACACTCACACATATAAACAACAATATACTTAATACACTCAAACCATACTTGTATTATTATTGCGTTTATGAAAGGTAGTATACACTCAGTTGATCAGAAGATGATCGGACAACACTACGACTTGCAAAAGTAGTAATCCTCAGCAGACCTGAAAGATCTCTACAAAAATCAAACTTCTCGCGGGCAGAGCTTCGTCTCGGAAACCGCACTTCTCGGGATCTTCGGGATCTCGGGACTTGCTTCGAGACTCGGGAATATTACCGGGACTTCGGGGTGGCTTCGGGGGTAAAAATGCAGAGCTTCGGCACGAAACGGAGGAGAAATGAGCAATTATGCCCGGACCCCTCGCATCCTATTTATAGGAGGCTGGAACCTCCCAGTACGCGGGCCGTACATGCCTCCGAAGTCGTAACTGCATGCGTCATCCGAAGTGTCGACATTTCTTGTTGTACACGGGGCGTACTCCGGATGAGTCCGGTGACTCGTCTTCGGATAAGGCCGGATTTAATAATTAAATTTAATTATTAATTATTTAATAAAATTCGAAAATTCATATCTCCTTCACACGAACTCCATTTTAGACGTTCTTTATATCCACGCGAAGGTGAGACTACGCTCTACAACTTTCTTTTAGACTCCGTCGGCTAATTTTTATTTTGATTTTTATTATTTATTTTTAATAAGCCGGGATAGAAAATTTCGTTATAAATTCATAACTTCTTCGTTTGATGTCCGTTCTTGCCTAAATTTTTATCGCTTTGATACTAACAACGAGATCTTCGATTCTCATTTAGATCACTAAGGCTAAATATCGATCTAACGTAAATTTCACTTTTTTACGTCATTCAGCGGTGCCTGTTTTGTCGCGAAACTTCGACAGGTCATAACTTCTTTGTTATAACTCGGATTTCGGCATTCTTTATATCCTCGGAAACCTTGTTTCAACTACTACAACATTATCTAAAGATATCAAGTTTATTTTACACTTAAATTTTGACGCTTGTTTTTATTCTTAATTAATCAAACCACATAATTAAGCAATTAAGCACAAAACACATAATACTCAAATAATACACTTATATTATTTCAAAACGGGTTACAAAGGTTAACCTAGACTATTACATTGCTAAAAATGGGAAGCCCAGAAACACAGGCGTTACAGTTGATGATGAAGATGACAATGGAGATGATAATGATGAATCAAAGAAAAAGAATGTAGAAGGGGAAATATTGAAGGATGTAAGTGTATTAAAAAAAAATCTCTATAAAATCACATGTGATTAAATACGTATCTTAAATTACATGCAATTATGGGAGAAGAAAATGAGAATGTTAAAGGAGGAGAGGAACAACAACGAAAAAATAAAGATGAGGGAGGTGAAGATATTAAAATAGTAGGTAAGTAATATTTTACTGAATCATATATGATTGCTAAAAATAACTTTTTACAATCACATGCGATTTACTAAATTTTTATTATATGCAAATCACAGATGATTAACTACAAATTTTTATTATATGCAGATGGTGAGAAAGATGAAAATGATAATAATGATCAAGGTTTGGATGACATGAATTTGCATGATGAAAGTGTTGAAAAAGAAAAAGGTGGTAATAATGAAGAAGAACAAAATGTTAAAGGAGATGGTAAACAACAATATTGTAACACCCAAAATCGGAAAGACCAAGAAAGGAAAGGAAACCCTAAGTCAAAAGGGGTCAACTCGTCAAGTCTAGGGAAGAACTCGACGAGTCGGAGCGAGATCCGTGTGAAAGATTAAGTGACCGACTCGACGAGTCGGCAAGTGGACTCGGCGAGTCAGGTCTGGGGTTAGGAAACCCTAATTTTGGGACTTGGTACCCTATTTAAGCATCTTATTCACTTCCCTAGGGATCATTTGCGGCCCGTATTGTTCGGAACTCGAAACCCTAGCCACCCAACTCGATTGTTGAGCTAGTTCTTGCCTTGAGAGTGAATTGAAGCTTGGAGAAGGAAGAAAGGCCTTGGTGATGCAAGAAGAAGATATAGATCCAAAGTTGGGGTAGCATTTCAGATCATTTAGAGGTAAAAAGCTTATACGTTGAATGATAATCATTTAGATCCCCTTTCTAGCATATATTTTGTCACATTTAGACCATTTCCAAGGTTAATCTGAACATTGAGCCATTGCGGACGAAAGGGACTTAAGATCTAAGCATTTCTGAGCTTTAGAAGCTTTGGGGGGCAGTTTTACCCAACCATGGCTTCATTTCATGACCTAGGCCTTCTTTGAAGCTTGGATTAAGTGTTCTAGCCTCATAACACCTTGCGTGCACGTAACGTTAACAACTTTACGTGCAATGCTAGCATTAGAAGTCCTGATCTATGGGTTGAAGGTGTTGGAATGGAGTGTAATGGACAGAGTAGAGATGTCACAAGGTGGACTCGGCGAGTCAGTTCATGGACTCGGCGAGTCAGGTCACAAACCCAAACCCTTATGTTTATGATTCGGCTAAGTGAGTGGAGTTAGTAAAGGATGCAATGAGACCGGGTCCGTCTTGTTCATGAGGATCATAATAGTCGACGACTTCGAAGAGGAACTCGGCGAATCCAAGGCAATATTCTTACTTATGAAGATGAACTCGACGAGTTGTTCATACAACTCGGCGAGTCATGGCCTAGATATTCATGCGATGATGATGAACTCGGCGAGTTGGTGGAAGATAGTCCCAAAGTGTTAGATGAAGGAGAACTCGTCGAGTTCTCACTAGACTTGACGAGTGGAGTCGAGGTTTTTTTGGGATTTGAGGAGCATGGACTGAGCGAGTTGGCAGAACAACTCGACGAGTTGAGTCAACCGGAAGGTTGACTTTAACCAGGACTTTGACCTTGAGAAGGACTTTGACCACAGTTAACTTAGTTGACTTCTTGAGGACAGTTAGGCTAAGTGTTGCTATTATTTTGGTATTGGTAGCTCGGGGAGCTAGAGGAGCAACAGTTCAGAGAGTTATTGGATAGCAGCCAGAGGGTTATCAGCAGTTTTAGTAGTTCGAGGTGAGATTTCCCTTTGTGTGGATGGGTCTACGACCACAATGTCGGCCCACTATAGTTATGAGTAAGAAGACCTGGGGGTTAGCCCTAGGCACTGTATGATGGTATGATATTCAGAACCACGGTCCAATGTTAGCAGGCAGGTACCCAAGAAACGGTTTACATGATAGTTTA